CCCCGCTGCATTCGTGATTAGTAGCGGTCAAGATGTATTTGTTTGCACCGCCGGCGGGATCTCTTAGCCTGCCCGCAGCGCTGCTGCATTCACGAACTTCTTACAGATTCAAGATTGCATCAGCGGCTCGGACAGCTGCAGCACCACGCACCCGAGCAGCTACCGGACGACGGCGGGCGGCTTGTGTGTCTTTGCGCGGTCTGTGCTCTAGCGTGACTCTCTCGCGAGCGGAATTTTGACCTTTCTCCGCTCGCCTGCTCCGCTGGTCTCTCTTCTTCTCACCATCCTTTAGCGCGGTTTCCTGTGCGCTTTTAGCTTACACACGCTTGCACCGCCTTGGAACCTCGCGATGAGGGGACCCAACCGCGTGATCCAGATTCCAAGCGGCTCACGAAGCAAGCCGCTCCACAATAAGATACACCGTTAGGATGTTCCTCGGCGAAGTGACTGCTCTGATTACGCTTCAGCATGCAGACATCCCGCCTCGGACGGCGAAGACCCGGGCCGCACAGATCCTACTACCTTGGCCATAGCTCTGACCGCCTTTGCGCCCAAAGAACGGAGTCAAAGGAGCGGTATTAACATTTGCGAATTAGCTCAAGCTCTGACCTCGTGCTGCTTTGGCATCGCGCAGCAGACAATCGTGAATCGATGAAATTGCCGAGGGCACTTCGTGGAGACGAGAGCTTCGCAATCGACGCCCGCACCGTTCGGTGTAGCCATCATACGGTTTCTTGCGCAGTGCTGGCATTAGTGTCGGTTGATATAAATAAGCCCTTCCTCGCGGCCCGATCGATAGGGCCAGATATCCATCCCCACGAGGCTTGCTCGCTCATTCCCACAGCTCACCCTCCCCTCATTCACCACTCCTGTATAGTCCCTTGTACAGCATGAAGGTCGCAGCTCTCCTCTCCTCCTTGGCCCTCACCAGTCTGGCAGTAGCGGCGCCACTAGATGGCGGTGTCGCTGCACCACAAGAGGTAGCGGGGCCTCGTGGTGGAAAGGTGATGGACACCTACAACCGCGTTGCCAACGCCCACTCCACAAAGCAGAGACTGTCCTCAAACCTCCAAGTCGACTCTGGTGCTGCTGCAGGTCCCGCATTCGACGTCGCCATCCCCGCAGTCGAGGAGCTCACCGCCGATGTCGGTGCTGCACCAACCGTTGCCGATGCTACCAACAACACTTCCACGCTCAAGTTCGGTCCCGCAGCAGCGCCATTCCAAGTGGCCAACAGGATTCCCACTGTCAACTTTACCGTCCCCACCAGCTGGGCCGGTCTGCTCCCTACCGGATCTGACAAATCTCGCAACCTGTTCTTCTGGCTTTGGGGTAAGGACAAGACGCCATCTGATGATCTCGTTGTCTGGCTCAACGGTGGACCAGGCTGCTCATCCCTCGGCGGCTTTTTGACGGAGAACGGCCCTATCTCTTATCAGAGCACCACTCAGGGCGGACCCAAGCCTTCTAAGGACAGTTGGACCAAAGACGCGAACGTCGTCTGGGTTGAGCAGCCCGTCGGAACAGGCTTTACGGAGGGAACTCCTACAGCTCGCAGTGAAGATGACATTGCCGCCGACTTTGTCGGCTTCCTCAACAACTTCCAGGCCACCTTCCCCGAACTGTTCGGCCAAGGAAAGCGTTTCTTCATCACTGGTGAAAGCTACGGCGGCGCTTATGTTCCTGCCATCATGAACCGCATCTACAAGGATGGCAACAAGTTTGGCCTGCTCGGCGGCTACATTGTCGATGGTGTCGTGACTGACCAGACCTTGCAGAGCGATGTTGTCATCTACAACTTTGCGAAGGACCCGACCAACAAGAAGAACCTGTACTTCCAGAACTCTGACATTCAGGCCATCAAGCGCCGTTCCGACACTTGCGGATACACGGGCTACATTGAAAAGTACCTCACTTATCCCGCCAAGGGCAAGCTGCCCGCGCTCAACTTGAACTGCCGAACTTCCCCTTGGGAGCTGTTCGACCAGCTGGCCACGAGGAGAAATGCCATGTACAACGTGTACCGCGTGGACGGCTCTCGCGTCAGCCCCTTCACCACTTCTCCTCTTGGCGATCCCAACAACCCCACCTCCACCCCCACCTACTTTGACAACTATGACCTCCAAGTGGCCATTCACGCCATCAAGAAGGGAGCAGCTCAAAAGAAGTGGGATCAGTGCGCCAAGAAACCAGTCTTCCCCAATGGAGATGCAAGCCCTCCTCCCGACGAGACATATCTCGCCTCTGTCATTGAGAAGTCCAAGAGCGGACTGATTATTGCTCAAGGTAACCAGGATGCTCTCATCATCACCAACGGTACCCTCATTGGTCTGCAGAACCTCACCTGGGCGGGCCAACAAGGCTTCTCCAAGCCTCCTACTCAGCAATTCATCGATGCTTACGGAGCTCAGTCCGGCTCTTTCGTCACTGAGCGTGGTCTCACCTTTGCTCAGGTGTACAAGAGCGGTCACATGATTCCAGCGGTGAGTTCCTGTAAACGGCCTTGGTAATCCCGAATCGCAGCAGCGAGCTCACAAAGTCTCATTCATGCTTCACTGTCCTCCAGGACCAACCCGGCGCTGGTCTCGCTTTGCTGCAGTCTCTGCTCGGCACGAAAAAGTTGTAGAGCGGATGCCTGCAGCCCGTAGCATACTCTTTGCAGCCATACCTTTCGAATTCCTCACCCTCGCGTTGCTCGCATCTCATCAAAGACTTGCTGGCGTCTTTGTGCATCTTCGTACATACAACCGACCTCTTTTGCCCAACTCAATTTGCGCTGCTCTGCTCTGATCTGCTCTGCTCTGCTCTGCTAAACATGCTTCCTGCTCCACTGCTCGCCACTGCTGAACGATGCACCCCTCGAAATGCCCTGCACTCTGACCACAACCTCTGGCTGGCAATTACTCAAGTGTGCAATACAATCACGAATGAAATGCACCTTTTCGAAACGATGTATGTAAATCTTGTTGATGCTGATCTGGATCGGCGGCATGCCAAGCGCGAGGGTCTCGAGGCCGCAAGTGTATCTGCTGATCGCGATCATGAATGGACACGAGGCAAGCAGAACTCGAGACTC